CCTTGTCTTATTTAATAGCTTTCAATAAATCTTGGGTGTGTGACTGAATTTAATATCTATCAGAGATAGAATCGATTCGGTTTGAGATTTTTAGGTTCAACTCCAAAAAACACGAACCGATCTCATCCATGATATATGCACCGATACTCATATTCACTCCAAAATATAATAGAAAGAAAGACATACGCAAGGAATGCAGTCAGAACGAAGAATATATAGATTGGTAGTTTTTCATAACCAGTAAAAAAACAAGAGTTTTGCTTCACATTTTTGAAAAAAAATGATATAGTATAATATAATAAATGTTGGCTAAAAATATAATAGATAAGATGTGTGAACCAATAGAAAGGACAAAAAAAAAAAGTAGAATTTTTCTGCTAAAAACAGAAGAGATGACAATAACGAACATATAATGAAAAATAAAAGAGAGGAAAAAAAAGGAAAATTATCAAAAATACCTTTCTTTACATTTGCATTTGACAAATAGTTTGAATGTGTTTTTCTTCTTCGTTGTGATTTAACATTTTCTAAAAAAAAAAAAGGATGTCAAGTGAAGACAACAATTCTTACGAATATACATCGACGTTATCTTCTGAAATCGCCATTCCTTATCCAATTCGTTTTTGGATTATGCTTCTCTTTTATATTCCATCAGTTATATGTTCTTTGTTCATCTTCTATAATTTTATTGTCCAACGAACATTACGTCACGCTTTATATAATCATATTATTCTTCTTCTTCTTATCATCAATTTTATTGTTCAACTAACAAATATTCCATGGATTCTTAATTATTATCGTTTAGGATATGTTTGGCTACAAAATCCTTTCTTTTGTCTTACATGGACTGTTACTGATGAAGGTTTATTTATCACAATAACAGTTCTATTTGCTTGGGCAACCATTGAACGACATATTCTCATCTTTCATGATCGATTAGTATCAACGAAATATAAACTTATTTTCTTTCATTATTTACCAATAATAATAATTCTTCTCTATTGCATGTGTTACAATATTATTGTAATTATTGTTCCACCATGTGAAAATACATATGATTATACTCAACCTATATGTGGTGATATTCTTTGTTATTATGAACTTCAATCTGTAGCAGCATGGGATATTGTAGTTCATGTTCTAATACCTACAATAATAATTATTTTCAGCAGTATTGCTCTTCTTTTACGTGTTATCTATCAAAAATATCGAATGCGTCGACCAATTCTTTGGCGAAATCATCGAAAAATGACAATTCAATTATTATCAATTTCAGTTATGTATCTGGCTTTATGTATACCAACGATGTTAATGGAATTTATTCATCTTTGTGGTGTTCCTGAAGATTCTGATGCCACTTTTACGTCGTATGCAGAATTCTTTGCATATTATGGTAATTTCTTTTTACCTTTTGTATGTGCTGGATCAATGCCTGAACTTAAAAATACCATTAAGAAAATATTTCCATGTTGGCGACGAACGCGAGCAGTTGCCCCTCAAACATTCACATTATCGCGTCGTGGAGTTGGTGCACAAACATTATTGTCGCGCCAAACATTGGTGCACAATTAAAAATAATAATTTATGTTCCATGTTCATTGTTGTGTTGTCTAATAAATACATGTTCTATGATTATTGTTGTGTTGTCTAATAAATAAAATATACAGCTTATTTTCAGAATAAATAACATAAATAAAAGCAATTATCAACAAACAATATGAAAACTATTTTTTTCTCATTAAATAAAATTGCATTAGAAGATGCTTCAATTCTAGCAACATCATTGATTAATAATACAATATTGGAAGTATTTTCAATCAAAGACAAAAGTTTAAAAAAGACGTAGGTTTCCAGGAAATTTTCTGCAACTTTCATTTACTTGCAAAATATTTTTCAAATCATCGAATCTCATGCATGAATATGTTACATTGTTGTGCGTCAGTACAAGACAAAAGCGCATGCATAGACTCGCGTATGTCGCAAGCACATACATGGAAATACAATGTTTTCGAATTTTTAAGACAAACAAGAAAGCTCAAGCATGAATCTATCCTTGAAAATAGTTCTATGCAACAGTAGATAGCCGAATGGTGAAGAAGTTCATCGTATAAAGCTAAATATGTTTGTTCGAATCCTATCTCCAAAAATAAACTTTTACATATCCATGTATGTTTGCTACATACAGCATATTTCATAAGTCTTGAGGTGCAACAGAATTAATTTATATGTAAACAGAGAATAACCTCTAACCGAATGTTTATTATATTAGCCTTGAGCACTTGTGTCAATCTTTCAAATGATATATTATTTGATAATATGTTCTCTTCGAATAATAAATATATAAACATGAGAATATGAGAACAAAATTTTTCGCAATCAATCAACAAGATATTTTATTAAAAAAAAAAAAGAAAAACATTCTTATATGTTAATTTGATTATACAAAAATATCATTTTACTATTATCTATTTGTTTTCTACCACTTTTTATTAATTGACCAAGTCTCATCATTACAAATTATTTTTTGTTTTCATTCTTTGTTCAATCTAGTTTTTATTTGTTTAAGACCTCCTTCCCCTCCTCAAAAATCCATCTCAGCCTAGGAACGTTCAAATGGCATGAACTTTTCAGAATATGTTGGAGCTGACATGGAGAGGCTATCGTGAAATTTTTAGCTCTATATCATAACGTTTGACAGAGATATTTACTAAACAAGAGTCAAAAATAGCACATTTGGCAAACCAAATTTCTCTGTTCAGACTCATTTTATATATATACAATTTTTTTTTGTTTGAAAGAGCATGTCAGGATGTGGAGCACCGCAGAGTCCTTTTTTTTTAAATACTTACTTTTTAAGTGGGGAGAAAGAATCACAAGTTTAATGACTTAAAAAACCCCTAAAAATGACGCTCTTTTTTATATGATAATAAAAAAGCTTATTTTAGAAAAAGGACTCTGTAGTGCCCTACATCCTGATGTGCTCTTATCAATAGAAAAAAAATTACATATATAACATGAACCTGGATAGAGAAATTTGGATTGTGCGTTCGACAAATCATGGAGTGAGAAGAAACGAAAAAGATTTTCGATTTTTTCCGAAAACAGCTTGTTTTTCGAATAGAGGATGACGAAAGTCTTCAAAAGTTTTTGTAAAAAACGAGGTATTGAGTAAAAATTTTTGTCGTTTAAGAAAGATCAGATCACGGATTATCTTCCTAAATGTATTTACCTTAATTTCGATCATTCCGACGAAAAGTAACTTTTTTTTTCAGGAAGGAAGCCTGAAAGCTTGTCAATCATTCTTCTCATACTTTTTTTCTTTAATATTCCCCATACATTTTCATGATGCTACGCATCAGTAAATTTATTGCTACCGCCTTGAAGTAAAACTCGATTATTAACCTTTTACTCCCCATAGCTGTTCCAGAAGGTTTGCATGATTTACTGCCGTGTAAACATTTGTTTACAAATAGATCTTTTTTTTATAAGAAGTTATATGATTAAGTTCGATAAGTCTAATGATCACAATGGAATATTTTATTTTGTTTCCTATGTCAAAAGTTTATTTTTCATCTCAAAGGTTCGTAAAGGTACGTTGAAATCTAACTATAGTTCGTAATGAGCTTTAAATAAATGCGGAAACCTCGGATTTACATCCGAGTGTTATGTGTACTTCAAAAAGTGAAAATGGACATTCACTTTTTTCGTTCTTATTTTGCCCTAAATATTTTATATCATGCACAGCAAAACTGGAACGAGAAACGAATACACTACTAAAGATATAACTCAAAAACTGCTGCTAAGGAATGAATGACTCAAAATAAACGAGTTTATGCTGATTAGCAAGCCATTACACCTGCACTAATTCTTGTGAAAAGAAATAAATACAGTTATTCAGGAAATTACTCCGTCTTTTAACAAAAATTTGCATTCAATTTAAAACAAAATAATCAAGGCATCAGTGATATTCGATTAGCGATAAATTTGAAAAAACATATTATTTTTTCCTAAAAAATTGTTGTCCTTCAATCCATTTATAAACCTCAACTCAAGTAGCAACACATAAATATCTCAATTTCTAAATAATCATTGTTTCATTTATAACGAATAAAATAATTTCTTTTCTCTTTGTTTTCTTGTTATTTTCTTAAAT